AATTATCACCCAGAAGCTGACTGTGATTAGAGCTTTTGGGCTTTGAGAGGGACAGCATAATAGGAAGACATAAAGAACCTTTGTTTCAGGCCACTGGTTCTCCTTGGGTTGAGAAATGGCACTTTCTTGCTTGACAACTAAGAGGGAGACTCCAGGGAATGAGAAGGGCTGGTACTGTGTGTCTGTGGGAAAAAGAAAGACTTGCACCATGGAGGAGGGAAGGCTAGGTCACTCAGTGTGTGTTGGGGGTGGGGTGGGAAGAAAGGCTGACATAATGTGTGGTGGGGGGAAGAAGGACTGGCATTTGTGTGGGAGCGAGAGAAGGTCTGGCACAATGTGTGGGGGGCATATTTTGATTAGCCAGGTGTCTTGACACATGCTGAAACCCATCACCATGCTTAAGAGTATCCAAACCAGTCATGTGATGTAAGTCACTTACACATTTTCCTGTGTGAGGAATGAAATGTGCACTCTCTCCCTTGAAGAAAGAACCCTGCTTACCTAATTCTGAAACGTGTGAGGGGTTGTCTAACAAGGTGTGTGTTGGGGTACTGCTGGAGTTTAACCAGCTAGAACTACATAACTTGCCATTTAAAGTACTGTCTGGCAAGCTTCCTGTGGTTGTCCAGCAAAGGACCATCCTACTTATTAGGGCTTTGGCTTGCAGGGTTAATATGAGCTGAGTGGGAAGAATTCCTATTATATACACATATACACCAATTGCTAGTATTTGCATCACAACATTTCATCCATATTTCTGTGGAAAGATGTTCCCAGATCCTCATCCTGGACACCTCCCCAACCCAGAAACTAGCATCCTAGACTCCATGTCCCGTCCCCCCCCCCCCCCCCACTCTCCCCCCCACATTGGATTCCAGTTTCACTGAAGTTTCTCTGGTGAGTTCCCATGACGCCAATGTCCTGGGCATTCTTTCTGTGTTGATTAAACCCAAATATTGGAAGATTTTGCCTACAAGATACCCAGTCACTACAGTTTACAATAAATCCCATGAAGCACTTAGAGATGTCTTCTTGACATGAAATGCCTACTGCATATCAAACGTGAGGATTATGAGGAAGAAGGAAATAGAGGAAAATCGTAGCAGGTAATTGGAGTGGTGGAGGCTGGTGTGGAGTACAAACGTGGGCAGTCACAAGTAAGACTGAAAGCTTTAGGTATCATTCCATGTCATTCTGTCATTAGGTTTTACATCCTCATACCTTTCTCATCCCGAATTTCAGATTAACATTCATCTCAACAGTTACAGAGAAATTTACCTCCGATCTGGTTCAAGAGAAACTGCACGAAAAAAAACTATGAACTATTTCCATTGCACTCCTGCATTTAATTGACTGATTCACCCTGGACATAGATGATGTGGGTGGTATAATTTTGCTCATATCAGGCCGTCTTGGGATGCGGAAAATGATAAGGCATCCAACCATCCTCATTCCTCAATCATCTCCTCGTTATTGTCAGTCGCGCTTCCTGATATGTGAGGCTTTGCACAAACAGTATCCAGAAGGTTACAATTGATGCATTTCACCCCCCGTCCCACTGAGGTGGAGTTTAACACTTTATATATGTGTATAGTCGGGTTACTAATCTGCACTACTGCAAGAATTACACAGAATTAAACTATTTCCTCTCGCTGGATATCACTGTCTGGCACACTCTAGGTGTTCTTTGAATAAAGGTGCGTGTGGAAACTAATAATATCTTTAGGTGTCGACCCTTCATTTAAAAAAAAACTAACGTGTTTTGTGTGTTTTTTTAAAAAAGAGAGAAGTTTGAGCTCGATTGCCTGTAGGGATAAGGCGGGAGTGGATGAGCACGACTTAATTAATGAAAGCTAACTGCGCCGCAGGACCTCAGGGGAAGTGTCGGGGTGAGTGAGGTGTGGGCTGAAGCTGCAGGAGTTGTGATGGGATGAGTTGGAAAGCAGGAGTGCAAATAACCTGAACAACTGGAGATCGCTGTCCACACGGGTTCTCGTGTCAGACACCCCTGAACCCACAACATATTTCATATTAGCGCTAAATAAAGTCCCCCCCCCCCCCCCCCCCACACACACACACACACCACACACACCACACACAGTATGTGAGGATTTCAGTGTCAGGTGTCAGCTGTGAGTTGGTGTTGCAATGATCAGATGGTTTGGAACACAACCAAATACTTCAAGACCAGGTTTGCACAGGGGATCGGGCAAGCTGACCTGATTCCTTCAGGCAACCCCTCAGGTTTCATTCCAAATCCAAGGATTATTATCATTCTCTCTGAATTCTGCTGACGTGAAGTCTAAATCAAATAGTTGCGTGGGTTATCTTCGCGAAGCAGTAAAGATCAGAGTATTTTCTTTGGAAAGAATGCAATCGTCGATTCCGAGACGATGTGGGTTTTTGTGCAGTGGGTTTAATAGCTGATATCTCCAATTCCTTAAAAGAATAACCAGAAATTACAGGGTTTTTTTTTAAGATTGAGTTCAGAGCGAGATCCTCAAACTCTGAGATGATAACACGTGTGTGTGTGTGTGTGTGTGTGTTTGTGGGGGGGGGAGAACACCAGCACCTTTCATGTCAACACATGTCAGATAAATGCAGGAGAGAGACAAGCGGACTGAGCGAAGTGACACGAAATAAATGCCTTTTCAAGTATTGCGTGTTATTAGCAATTAAGTGCAAGTCCAATAACAACAGTGCGGAGGGACTCCAGTGTATATCTACTGTATTCATATTGCCAACAATTTACTGACACTGAGGTTGCTTTAGGCAATCAACAAGTCTGTCAGCCTGGATATTTCGAGAAATACTGCAGACATGGTTTTTTTTTACCTGCAGGAAAATCTTGTAAGGACTTTATTCAAGTGATAATATAGACTGCGTTGTGGCAAACGTGATTCAAAGCAGTTAAACTCATTCATCCTGTCCAAGTAAGTCCCGGCAAATGGAAGGGTGTAAAACCCTCTGTGATTTGGGCTGACTCTTAAATCTGACGTGGGACTCAAACAGGTTTGCTGATACTTTTTTTTTAGAAAGAAAAGGTTAAAAAAAAAACTAAAATCAAATGATTGGAACTCAAAAGGGGCTGCGGCACACACTTAACCCAGTTTCGCCCACAAAATACACACTCACAGTAAATCCTGTGAAGAGCTTTGAGACGTCTGGCGAAACAACGTGATGAGGCGCTCTATCCGATGCAAGAATTATTAAGGAGTATCATTAACTCAGACTTGCAGCCCCATCTGCGCTCTAAATTGGTTTAAAGCCCGTCAGCAGAGGACAGACTCTATGACCTGCTTCCCTCTCCCCCTTGATCGGGGTGGAAAGACTTCAGCATCGCCGAACCACCCTGGAATATAGAGGATTATTGCAAACTGCTGGGCATCTCGCACCAGAGCCAAGGTTGAGATCAGGTACTCAGTTCACACAGCCCAGCTGTTCCGACACCTCGCAGCGTTTTACCCTCAGTGCCCTTTGAAGTCAAGTCAGCTTTACTGGTTGAAACAAATATTGCTGTCAGTTTTTTTTTCATTCAGTGGGGGCAAGGGGGCAATCACCTCATTTTCTTCCCATGGGTAACTGTTGGCTGGGTGGTAACCCTTCCTTTTCAGCTTGCAGAAATAGAAAAAAAAACATTAGCAATTAGAGAAAACACGTTGCAATGATCTGTTGGGACATCAATTATTCCATGAAATTATTTCCTGAAATCTAAATAGCTGTTACGTCGGGATCTCTTCCAAGTAATCAATTCTTTATTCAAAATGACTTTTTTTAAATACAAATATACTTAATGCAAAGGTACCCTATAATTTTATAAAGTACAGCGAGTACTGTGTTACTGTGTTACCTTCAACTGAGATTTTGACATACCCGGGTCCACACATACTATACGGAATGATAAACAATTCGTCAATAAAACGCAGGGCGTTTGAAGATGCCAAGGAGTATCTTTCCTGTTTGGAATAGATGGCACACAGAGGACGTTTCGAGATCACCTTGCCCTCTGTGTGTGTGTGTGTGTGTGTGTGTCCTCTGCTTGTGCAGGAATCTCTTGTGGGAGGAGAGAGGGAATTCTAGATTCCCTTCACACATGGCATGCACTGCAAAATAGCTTCGGAGATACCCTTTCGACTTTGTAAACGCAACCTGATTCTCCCGTTTTGTTGTTTCATCAGCAATAGTTGTGGAAATCCCCGTGTCTATGTGTTTGCAAATATGTCATTGAGAGGAGGACGCGTTGGTCACAGGTGACCAGAGTTAACAAGGTATGTTTTAGGCTGCAAAGCCCGCATCGAGTCTGCAATCGCTTTCTCTTCCACCTGGATATTTCCCGAATTCTCCCGTTGCTCAGCGGACAGTCGTTGGCATCGGGATCTTGGAAATGTTTGGGTTACTAAGGATTGCTGCTAATTGTCGACAATAACTTTAAAAACGCTGTGAATTACTTCTGACACCTGGAACTTAAACTTTCTGCAGCTCGTCTCGACTGAGATCCAGGTAGAGAGAGACCTTTCTGATCAGATTTCACATCAACAACCACTATCTCGCTGTCTAAATTAAAGCGATCCGAGGTGATACACACACGTCAAAGCAGGTGAACCGGTGCCTAATCTATATAAGGTCTATTGATGGTCACTATCCAGTGGGGAAATTAGACTCGAATACACAGAACACCGGGTCATCATCAACACTGGGTTAAGGGTTACAGATTTGTGATTCCACGTTGATGGAAAAAAAATCTACAGTCATTGCAGAGAATCAAACCGAGCTGCCCTGAAAAAGTTAATAGCATCTCAAACCTAATGCACAAGACTTTTTTTTAAAAAAATCCACTGAATTCTTCCAGAATGCCTCATCATAAAAGTCATCAATGTCCATATCGGAAAACAAGGGAAAGCTATTGGGAAGACTGATTACCCTTGACATAGCATTTAGGAAGGTTCACCTTACCTGCATCACTCTTGGAAAGAGCTATTTAAATGCTGAAGCGTTCTTACCTTGAGAGTGGTGGAGCTTTTGCTGGTCGCAGGATTGATGTCTCTGTGCCTGGATGTTGTTCTGTTGGGGCTGCCAGGAGTGATCAGTCTTGGAGGCTGAGTCCCATACACGCACGTAGAGGTGAGGAGAGTTTCAGACTGGACTGGTGGGTTGTGGAGTCAGCGCCGTTCAGTCTCACTTCTGGCGGATCAGAGACTCTGCATGTGGATGTTATCAGAGCGTGGGGCTGGGATTGGCTGTGATCAAACACTGAGCCAAAAAACAAATCGTACGCTCCTCTGAGTAATATTACACAACCAACACAGTACTGGGGTAAGGGGGGCGGGGAGGGGGGGGCTTCAAAACAGCCTGCAGGGCAAGAATCGGGAATCAGATAGAGAAATATAGGGCAGAAGGGTAGACTGCTTCACTGGCAATCTCACAGAATGGCACAGTTCCTAAAAATAACTCGCATCGTTCAAAAGGACCAACATGGCCCGTTACATGGCACCGACCTCCAGAATGTCACACCATTTGGACACGGCACGTTCACTGAGCAGGACAGAAATTCCCAAAATAACACCAGCTAATAGCACACGGGCTTTTGGACGGAATGGCGTTAACTCTGGTGAATTCTGTTTGACAGGAGTGGAGGAAGAACGATCTCCTGTTGGCACAGACTCAAACCGAAATACATTTGCAAATGGGACTCATTGTGGGATTTACATGTGCTAACTTCTAAATAAAATAAGGCACAAGCAATTCAGCTCAAGGCACCCCGCAACCAATTGCACTGTTCACAACCTTCTCGTTGTAGTGTTTTATATTACACTGGTTATTTATTCGAAAGATACAAGGGCTCAGCGGTTGCAATGCAGCACCCACGCCGTTTATCATGCTTTTAATTTGATAGTAAAGTATATTTCCACGTGTAGATCACATGGATGTTGACATATTTTGGCGGTTGTTTTTAATACCCATTGGGTGCAAATGCCTGGTGAAAGCAATGCCTTGGATGTACATTGTAAGATCTTCAGTACAAATGCTACTTATGAAATTCAGGCCTCTTACGTTTACCGTTCAACCCGAAGGGTTATATACTAACATATTTAAAATGAGCCGATTTGGGAATCGTCCCTGGTCTTTAATTTCAAATGACGATTGCGCCGTGATGTAGATGTATATAATAGTAATAATATAATAAAATAATAATAATCCTTTGTATTTGATATAGCGCATTATCACGTCTTCCAGACGCCTCAAATCGCTTCACAGAATACACTTCAAGTGTATTCAGAATATACAAGTGAATTGACTATATTTTGTGGGCGAAAAGTATATCCACTTTTTAAAAAAAGTATTCTGATAATACTTCCTAACAAATGCAATTTTAGTTTATCCTATTACATGTGCCCTCGTCTGGTGTGAATGTGTTTAAGACGCGCCTTTCAACAGCAAACCAAAGCCATGTATTTTACATGGTTTTCAAGCACCTTCTCATCAGTCCTCTTCATTGCACTGTTCGAGCAGAGACAGTATCAGATATTTGTGGTGCAACTAATTTCTGGGGAAAATATGTTCATTTTTAACCCTTCGCAACCCAAGGAACAAGTGAACAGTTGGTGGGAGGAGATGTACCTGTGTTATAAAGCAATCATTTTGCGTCCAGTTGACACCTTCGAGACCTTGAGAGTTTTATTCAGTGAGTGATTCTGAAGAAGGTGTCCTGTGCAAGAATCTGAGTAGGACTGAGAGACAATTTGCTCCATTGACTTCCCCACAAATGGTCATCCCATTTATAGAGGGGGGGGGGGGAGGAGTGCCAGAAGCAAATTCCTTCAGTGTTATCTGTCTTCAGAGGAGATTCCGCTCAATTCAGTGAACTACGAAACCACTTTGACGAATCCAATCTTTTTTCCAAGCCGAGCATCCCGAATTCCGTCTCATGTCCTCATTTCGTTGCCTGATTTCCCTCCTCTGCTATTCATTTTACCCTCTTTGACCTCTCTTCTCTCGCCGAGTCTCTCTCTCTCTCTCTCTCTCTGTCTCTCTCTCTTTACCTCTCCAAAGGGACGACTCAATTCTGCCTGTGACTTGCAGGTCCGAATCGCCTACAGGTCCTCTGTGGATTTCACCTGTTTTTTTTTCACACTGCGGGGCCGAGTTACAGTACATTGATACGTTTCCAACCCTTGGATCTTCCCAGAGCTAAACACTGCAACTTATAATCTTGCAAAACAATTCGAGGAACGTACTGAAGCAGCTTTAATATTTAAGCCAGGAGAGAGACCATGAGAGAGAGAGAGAGAGAGAGAGAGAGAGAGAGAGCCCAGTTAGCTCTTTACCACGACAGTTGTAACTGCAGGAGTCACACCGTCTCAGTGGGATGTCACCAGTGTTTCCTGGTTTTCTCGCAAAGCAAAACGGCGCTGTTTAAATGGGAATGGCTTAGGCTCAGGTCATTTGATTTGATTTCGGCCGCTCTGGGCAGAGAGAGAGAGAGAGAGAGAGAGATGTGTTTAAAATCTGTGGGGTGAGACAGAGCTGCTTTTTTTTTCGTCGGAGAAGCAGTCCCAAGTCCTGATGAGGCAGAGTCTGCTCAATCCCGGTCACACATCCCCCAGCAATATCCCTCTCACACCCTCTGTGATCCGTCCCTCTTCCCACCCCTCAGCCTTTCGCCTACACCAGTGAGTGACCCCCTCCGGCTGCTCTCACTCTCGCTCCACGTACCTTCTTCCTCTGATTTATTTGGTTTGCTCTCTGCACTCTTACTTCTGATCTGCTTCTCTCTTGAGTTTTTTCTCTGTGTCTCTGTCCCCCTCCCCATCACGCACAACCCCCCTCACCCCCCAACCCCCACACACAAACACACACACACACTCCTCTCTCTCTCTGTCTCTCTCTCCCTCTCTCTGGTTTCTTTTGGTCCTCCTCCCGGATCTCACTCCCTCTGCGCATCCCTGGTTCTCCCCCTCTCCCCATCATCTGCTCGGGTTGGAGCGTGTCCGGCGCTGATCGCCAAAGCAGCAGAGAGATAGAGAGAGAGAGAGAGAGAAGAGAGAGAGAGAGAGAGAAGAAAGAAAGCAGCTCCATCAGAAAACTTGTCAGAGAGAAAAACTTGTGAGAGTCGCCTCGAGTTTCTGGGGGGCAATCAGCCATGTGTGCTGGAATGTCTCTGACCGTACAGTAAGATTGAATCAACCAGAGAAAATAATCCAAACCCTTTTTTTGGGGGGGTGTGTGGTGGGGTGGGGGGGGGTGGAAATTATTTCAATCTGATTCCCCCCCCACCCCAAAAAAAAACGGGTCCAAGCGTCTGATGCGGTGCCCGTGTTTATTAGCAATTAGAGAAAGAGAAAAAAAGAACACAAGAGTCGTGTATTAATGAAACAATTGTCTCACGTCTCCCTCGTTAATCTCACATATTATCTGGAGCCCCGTGAGCATTCTTTGGCTGATATTAATACCGGCTGATGTGTTGATTCTTGGAAAGTGGCGCCTGGTTGAAGTTATTTTAAGTGACTGTATAAACACAAAGAAAAAAGAGAAGCAGCAAATTTACAATCTCACTCCTTTTCCCAGACGAGCCTTTCTCCAGATATTTATCTCACTTCAGTCTGTGTTTCTATTTCGGTTTTAAAATAAACCAAAAGGCCTGGGCTGTCTGATTCCGCAGATAACAGTTCGCTTTGCTCTGACAAAAGAAAGGGGAAAAGGTGAAATTGGACGGTTCTGATCCCCCCCCCCCCCCCCCCCCCATCCCCATTTAAATGTTTAACCTACGGGTTACAATAGCGCACCTCTTAAACCTGTTGGAGGAGGTGCACTGAAGTACGGATGGGGAAGTTCCTGTACCTGGTGTCCTGGCTGATGCTGTGGGTAGCCAGGTATTGCAGTGACCTGTGGTGGAGAGTGCTTGTGTTAGCCATCTCTCCTCGAATAACATACCAATCCGAAATGTCTGCCATCTCGCCCGTCCATCTGCATGGAGCCAGTGAATGCAAGAAATAAAACAGTCACATCCTCATCCTTGCATTTGATGCAGTGCCTTTCACAAATGCAAGGAGGACCTCTCAAAACGCCTCACATGATGCACTGTAATGTGTAGCGACTGTGTGTTTTGCAGGCAAACGCATTACATTCAAACTTTCTGCTCCCACCCTCTGGAACTCCACCCTGGAGTCCTGATGCCTCGCCTTCTCTCTTGCCTCCTTCAAGGCCCATCTCAAGATCTTCCTTGCCCACTCCCTTGACCCCCAGCCCTCTTGATTCCAATCGCCAATTTGGGCACTAAACTTTGTCCAGTGCCTGGCAGGTCCTCCCGACCTGAAAGGGGTGATACAAATGTAATTTGTTGTCGTTGATATGCAATAGCGTAATCCATGTCATCTCCATTTTATATGTAGTTGGTACTTGGGACAGATGTCGGTTATCCAAATTTCCACTTCAATCATTGGCAAAGATGCAGTATTTCTAACTCATTCTCACTCAGGAGAGATCCAATAGCTGCCTCCTTCCTCTTGTAAACTTGTGTCAAAGTAACCAGAGCCCATATCAGGAATTATGGTTCCTGCAATGTTTTGGCTGCAGGACATAATTCCTTCAACTGTATAAAGACATTACTAAAAGGTAGTTTATGTAGTGAAACCATTATAGTGGAACTACGTTTTACTAGATTTTTTATATAGTTTGATTATCAAGTACTGTCTTGTTTGTTGTCACAAATTCCCATCTCCTTTTTTTGCCTTGATTCATCAAACTTTCTGGATGGCAAACTAAAGTGGTCTGGTTTGATGCCTTTTCAGTTGCCTCTGTTTATCCGAACTGAAGTAATTGCTCTGTGAAAGTGGAACTGATTTTCTAGCCTACTGTTATAATGTTCAATGAAATCAAAACTATGAGGAATCAGGCCCCGATCTGATTTAGGAAATATGAAATAATAATTATAGTAATCCTTGCATTTGATAGAGCAAGTCTTTGAGACCCATTGTTCATAGAATATATTGTAAAGAGAATTGACTGTATATTTTGTGGGCAACGAGCAGCAGCCAATTGTGCACAGCAGTGTCTCACAAACAGTCATGGATTAAGTGATCAAATTTTTTTTAAAAAGAGATTATTACTCCTGGAAAGTGATCCATCAATCCACTAACAATCGGGTTCCTACATACTGCTAGTTAAATAGAGGTGTGTGGAGTAAGAAAACTTGCTTAAGGTTTCGCTGTGCCTTCTAATTGAACC